CATCCCGTTTTCGACCTGGCACCCTTTTCCCAAACCCCTCCTTTGGTACCGTAGGATTTTGGACAACTGGCGCCATGCTGCAATTCGGGCGCCACTTTCAAATACTGCATTTTTCAGTTCTACCGTCGGGGCCTTTGCAGAAATGCCCCTGGTACAGTACGTGTCACCGGTACTTATACCGGCTCCAGTACGGTACGGGGACCAGTCTCGTACCAATTCTCTGCTGCTGTACTTGTACTCAGTGTGACTTGCCGTTTCGGCATTCGGAATCCAAGACTTCGACTTTGTGCCTTGCCACTGTGTCTGCGTCCGACCCTCAGTCCGAGTCCGTCGTGTCGAGTGAGTGAGTGTGTGTGTGTGCTCTCACTCTCCCCCTCTCTCTCTCCTCTCCCTCGGCTCACCCTCAGCCTCACGCTCGTTACAGTACCACTGCAGTGACGGCACTACTATTAGTCTACTACCCTACTCGCGCAACGCGAAAGTGGCGCCGCCAAGTTGCGCCAACCAGTGCTTACTCTTGTCTGCCACTGAGCCACTGGTGACTGGGCCCTATCCCCAACGGCCAGGGCCCTGCAGGCTGCACGGCCTGCAGAGTCATGCAGACTGCGGTGCCTCCAGGTCCCTCACCCCCAGAGGCCAGGCCCTGCACCCTGCAGGGCCTGCAAACTGTAGTGCCCCCACTTCACCAACCCATGGTGTCGTAGGCCCGTAACCGTTACCCCACATGGGCTCTATCCCGGGATTCCTGACTATCCGGGTCAACCGGGCCACATCCCCGAGTCCCCAACCCACAACGCGCCCCCCGCCCCCCCCCCCCCCCCTCCCCCCTCCCCCCTCCCCCTCCGCGGAGAAGGCCCCACAGCGCCGCCCCCCACAGTGGGCCACAAGGCCCACAACCACGACTCCTCAATCCCAGCACCGCCCGCACCAGTCACCCCAACCGTCGGCCCTAGCCCCGTCCGGTGTCCGCCATCCCCCCAAGGCCCCCCCCCCCCCCCCAAGGCCCCCACCACCCGCAACCCCGCCCCGTCACCCGACTCACCTCACCCACCCACCCCGCCTCGTCACCCCGATGTCGTGGCAAACACCCTTACAAGGGTATTTGCCGTTGTTTTGAAAGGTCGCGCTGGGTCCGACCTTGGTCACAGAAATGCGCCGATAGGACGAGTTCTGACGGTACTCGTGTCTTAGTAATTTGTGGGAGGCGAGTTGATTAACCTAAGTATGCAGCTTGAGGTTAGAGAGTGTGTGGGCATACTCTTTTGAGTATGCGATTGTCGTAATTAGCGATTGCGGTCGGATTGACGGTCGATAGAGAAACCGGCCCCTTTGGGCAAAGATGCAAGGCATAGGGGGATTAAACTTTGATAAGCAAGTGTCATATGCGCCTTATGTGCGGGTGTAGTAGTTGATTTTGTAAAACTGGTTGTTTTGCTACCAGTATTGAGAAACGTTAGTTGAACTTTGTTCTCAAATCGATGGAGGCTCGGTGTAAAGTAGTGCCCGCAACGGCAACGAGTATTAGAGTAGGGGCCTTAGTACTACCGAGGCAGCCCATTGGGCCATCACTAGTAGGGGTTCCGCATACCAAGTGCGAAGACCGCGGCCTTGGGGCCAGCGRCGCGATCGAGTAGGGAAGAGGGCCTACTTGAATATGTATGGTAGGCCTACCTGGTGGCGGATACTACTTGAATGAAGTTCCACGCGCGATTGTGTCAGGTTTGGGTTTAACCCTATTGGTTACAACAATCACCTTCACCAGGGAGATCACCTTCACCAGGGAGATCCGGGGATCGAGGCTAGCAAGCGACGATAAAGTAAAGGAGCACAATTGGAAGAGACTGAGGGGTTGAGGGTCTTTAGGGACTACCCCCCCTTGGTTTTGCCAAACAGGTCCAGTCGGGGTCTAACTGGCGAAACCAAGAGGGCGCCGGCGGGACCTCGTCGTCGTCGGTTCTACTAATTTTATTTTTGATATGTTTTTACTTGTATTTTTATTTTTATTTTTTCTCTTGAAATCCCGTCTTGAACAGAGCCGGAAAACTGGCTCTGGGACCGACGGCGAAAAAGTACCGCGAGGAAGGATGAAAGGAACCTTGAAAGAAAGAAAAAAACTCTTGAAACTGTCGAGCGATGAGCGGATGGAGAGAAGTCCCACACCTGGTCGAGGGCAAACGGCGACTTGGTCACCGCCATCATTGGCCAAGACGCTGGGTGCCTGCCAACATGGGTTGTTGTGACAGCATTGCATTGGGGAATGATTGGAACTTTGCCCCGCGGGTGGCCGTCACGGCAACCGATGACCTTGAGTACGCGCCTCTTTTAGCAGTGACGTTCGGGGTCCTACGTATTCGGGGTGCTGACAAAATTCCTTTATCCTGCCCGTTTTGAAAGCACAGACCGAAGGGGCCAACGTGCAGGTGAGCCTGTGGGTGCAAAGCCCTCAAAGCAGCGGGATACCGAGTGGCGGGGATCTCCTGCAGATGCACCGTCCGCTAGCCAGGATCTGTTGCTGGAAGGCTGGAGTGTGAGCAGGGCCGTGGGACCCGAGAAATAGTCAACTGTGCTCGGGGAAGGCATGGTCTACCAGCCAAGGTTTGTTGTAAAGAGGTTTGAGTTTAACAGGTCTGCGGGATCAGTACGACTGGGCCTAGCTCTGGTACACCCGCAGACTGTTTGAAACCAGGTCTGCGGGATCAGTGCCACTAGGCCTAGCTCAGTTGGTACACCCGCAGACTGTTGAAAACCAGGTCTGAGGGATCAGTGCCACTGGGCCTAGCTCAGTTGATACACCCATTAACTAGTGAAACCAGGCCTGTGGGACCAGCCCCACGGCAAGTTCGGCTGGTATACACCGCAGATTGCTGTAAGTAGGCCTGTGGGACCAGCACCTGCGGACATAGATCAGCTGGTACACCCGCGGAGTGCTGAAAGTAGGCCTGTGGGACCGGCAGTTGCGGGACCTAGCTCAGTTGGTACACCTGCAGACTGTTGGAAAACAGTTCTGGGGGATTTGTACCAGCGGTAGCTCGGTTGGTACGCTCGCAGACTGTTGAAAAAACAGTCCTAAGGGATCATCACCTAAGCAAGTTCATCTGGTACACCCGCAGGCTGTTGAAAAACAGGCTTGTGGGACCTGCACCAGTAGGCCAAGCTCAGGTGGTATACCCACGAACTGTTGAGATACAGGATGGGGTTCGAATCCAGGTACAGTCAGAAAAACAGACCACAGCCTCGTGAGCTAGTCTGAAAAGTCCCGTGGTGAAAAAAAAAAAAAAAAAAAAAAAAAAAAAAAAAAAAAAAAAAAAAGGCTACCAAAAAAAAAAAAAATTTTACACCCCTTAATTTTTTAAAATTTTTTTTTAAAATTTTTTAAAAGGAAAAAAAAAAAAAAAAAAAAAAAAAAAAAAAAAAAAAAAGGCTACCAACAGGCCTATGACTCGGTTGGTACGCCCGTGCACTATTGAAGTACAGACTTGAGTTCGAATTCCAATGGGAGCTGATGAGTAAAATGCTGCAGTTTTGACTACCCAGGCCCGGTACCTGGCCCGGGACCGGTGCTACATCAACGGGCCTAGCACGATTGGTACCCCCTGAACTGTTGAGATACAGACTCAAGTTCGGGTCTAGATACAATCAGGTGAACAGAATAAAATAACCCTAAATTACCAGGGACTGGTTCCTTTGGGACATATGTTCAAATTGGAACGATACAGAGAGGAATTAGCATGGCCCCTGATACACATAAGAACAAGGGACCAACTTATTCCCTTTTTTGTGTCCTGAAATTTTCGAGAAAAGTGCCTCGTGGCTAGACGCGCAGTGAGACCGCGTGGAGTAAATGGGGTAAACGTCGGCAACAGCAAAGAAGACGAAGTCAGGAGGAAGAAGAAGCAGGGCGGAAATGAGAAAGGATGTGGCAGGGAGAAAGATGAGAGGAAGTAATGGAGAAGTATCGAAAGAAGGAGAGAGAGACGGAAGATTAGAGGAGGGGAACCAGATGGGATGAACCTCGGCGCGGATCTGTGTCAGGTGCGGTTGGGAAGAGTGAGGAAGGTAGAGATGGCGAAGAGGGTGAAGTGCAAGGAGGGAGAATGTGCTTCCTTACCTAATTTTTAGTAGGAACTGTGGAGAAGGAAAGTCAGGTAGGAGGTTTCTGGGCTAGGCGAATCTAATGGTGGTATTGGTCTGGCTGGGGAGTTAGCAAGAAGTAAGGTAGAGGGAAGAGATACTGCGCGGAGAGGTTGGGAAGAAATAACGAGTGAAGAAAACAAGAGCAAAAAAATATGATATCTCGCTCGTTCCTCAGCGGAATCAAGCGAGAAAAGATCCTAACCCGGGGTTTTTGGCCAGCCCGAGTATGATAGTGGTGTCAGAATTGATAGTAGGGCGTTAGTTTTTTTGATCTGGGCTGCAGGGGCTGCGCGGTTCTACGGGAGTTAATGAAAGTAGTAATGTATCTTTCTGAATTTTCAGCAGAAGAACGAGTACCACCTTGCTTGTTGGGTGAATAGAGGAGCATAGTCTATGGAAGCAGGCCTCAACTGAGCATTGCCATGCATCTTAATCCCGGTATTACTACACATGGTCATCAGCAAGATCCCGTTGTTCGCCCTCATGTATGTTTCTATAGGGGCGATGTACCTGGCCGATTTCCAGCGGGAGATTCATTCATCATTTTCGCCCATTGATGGGCGCAGCAGGCAGTGACCTCCTTGGCGTGTATCCTTCTTGGTTCTAGCGAGAGGTTCATTCATCACTTTCGTTACTTATGAGAGCAGGCGGCAGCCGTGGTAGCAGCAAGTGAGACGAGCATAGTGTGACTCAGCAGAGCTTTCGTTGTCTCGCTGCACTCGGTTCAGTAAAAATGGATAGCAGACTCTGTTATCAACCACCTTGCTGCCGTACTTATACTGGTCGACATCTCTTGATTTACTCCTTGTAATCGCTGCAGATCATTGTGATCACCCTCGTACTTGAGATCGTGCATGTAGTGTAGAGCTGTCGGCAGTTGCACGACTATCCCTGGTTTATCATTGTACTCTTTAAAGAAGCATAGGTGTTGCAGTCGTGCTTGTGGAACGGATGGAAAAACTCGCTCTGGTAGAAACATATCGACTATCTGAAGAGCGATTAACTATTGAAGAAGGGATTCATGCGATTGAGGCGCATCTTATGCATGGGGCGGATGTCAATTTCCTTGTTAATTCGATACTGCAAGTGCAGGAGGGTGTGAGTAGAAGTCAGAAACCTGTAAAGGATATGGAAGAGGACGAGTTTGAGGAAGAAGAAATAACAGAAGCATTTCGTGCAGAGGAATATGATGGCGTGTATCGAGAATTGGGGTCGCTTCTCTCGTGTGAGATTAGGGAGAGAGAGGTTTCCCTAAGGGTGCATGAGATGCGGCCGCGATTTGCAGTGCATGATGGACACCTCTTTATCAAAAACGAGGTTGGAAATCCAAGGCGAGTGATTTGCGGAAGACATTGCCAGATCGATGTGATAGCAGCACTGCACGATGGACCTGCTGGAGGTCATAGAGCTTTTGCGCTTACTTATGCTAAGGCACGCAAGCTTTACTACTGTGAAGATATGAGCGAGATGATTCGTAAGTATTGCGAGTCGTGTGTTCCATGCCAGATCAGAGTCTCAACGAAGTATAAGGAGCCTCTACATCCGAGGATTGTGCGAGATGCAGGGGCAGTGGTCCATTTGGACCTACTGGCCATGCCACCGGGAGTGAGAGGCTATAATTACATTTTCGACGCTCGCGATAATCTCACAGGTTTTGTGGATGGGAGGGTCATCCGCAATAAGACATGTGAGACTCTGGCTATGTGCATCATGGAATACTTTCTCAGATATCCCTTTGTCATGGAGTTTGTGATGGACAGAAGTTCCGAGTTCACCTGTGGAGAGGTAAACGACTTGCTGCGGGGATATGGTGTGAAGGCAAGCTATACGACAAGGGCTCATCCACAGGCAAATGCTCCGGTGGAGAGGGGTCATACCACCCTTACAAACTTATTGGTAAAGTGGACGGATGGTAAAGAAAATCAGTGGCCTAAGCATCTGCGCGCAGCCTTCTTCGTGGAAAATATTACAATCAAGAGGTCCACGAAGTATGCCCCAGCGGCTTTATGTTATGGAAGGCACGCTACGCTTCCTATAGAGAGCTTTCTGACGACGTGGAGGCGGCAGGATATGGAGACCAACTTGACCTTCGAAGGATTGCTGGATTTGCAGGCAAGGCAGGTTGGCATTGCGGAAGAGAGAATTCAGGAAGCCGCGGATGGAGTGATGGACAGTCGTATGAAGGACAAGGAGAGGTGGGACCACCTTCCGCGAGTCAGAAAGGAGCCACTCGAAGTGGGAGATGTAGTGTTGTTGTATGACTCGTCTCTGGAGAAACAATGGTTGCGTAAATTGGACAAGCGATGGTTAGGTCCTTACCGTATTCGACGGTGTGGGCAACATGGGGCGTATGAGATCGAAGAGTTAGATGACACGCCATGGAGTGATTGGGTTTCAGGTTCGAAGCTGAAAACGTTTGTGGCGCGGGATTGAGGTGTATTGGAAAGTGTCTTAGATGAGTTTTCTTATGATTTGGTTGAGTCCATGACGTGGTAGGGTGGCATATTAGTTTAGCTTGGATTAGGTCTTGGTTTAAGAGTCCTAGGTTTTAGTAAGTAGGTCAGATATATAAGGGTCTATCTATACTCATTCTATTTTGCTCCTGTCATCCATCCTTATGTGTGCAGAGACAACTTTTCGAAGTTGGTCATAGCCAGTGAGGCGGGAGGATGGCGAGACATGGAGAGCAGCGGACAGCCGCGTCAGCGATCCTGGATCCATTTTGCTACTATGGTGGACATGTTTTTTCATTTCAGGATGGATTGGTTAGACAGGTTGGGCCCTCAGATTAGATTCCTCCCAGTTGATGGAGCGAGTTAGGGGTACAGGTAGGTATATGGAATGCGTGGCTCGGATTACGAGAGACTCTTTGGATTGGCGTCAGTTCGCCATGAGGGTGCTGAGGTTGAGACCCCAGCCTTTGGATCGACGGGGTAGGCCCATGCGTTTCGACGGGGCCAACCTGGACGAGTTTCTTGAGAGTTTCGCCATCTTAGCCAGTGAGCAGAGATGGACTGAGGTGCAGGGTATCCGACAGATTCGACATTGGATTATTCCTAAGCTCATACACGAGGTGAGTGCGTTGATACCCTCCACATTGTCCTGGAGGGGGCTTGAGGCAACACTTAGAGGAGCGTTTCCAGCTAGTAGGAGGCGCAGTTTGTATAGGGGAGATCGGGATTATATCCCAGAGTTTAGGATATGGGTTGGGGAGCGACAACGGGATCGTAGGCAGGGAGGAGATGAGCAGCACGATATCCCGCGTGTGCATCATATGGAGAGAGGAGCGGATTATGGTGAGACAGTTGTAGAGGCTGCTTATGAGGAGAGAGCCAGTGTCGTTGAGAGGCCAGCTGAGGCTACGGTCGGAGGAGAGGAGGCTATATTACCTACGGGTGAGTGGCATGACGGCTCGTCGGCGCCGAGTGTGGAGGTAGTGCGAGAGCTCGAGGCAGAGAGAGCTGGTCAGCAGGAGACTCGGAGAGTGGAGGAGATTGTTCAGCCACATGAGACGGCGGTGGCCCCAGACATAGGAGCGGATACGTTGGGAGGTTCGCTACCTCAGCAGGAGAGTGTGTCCCGAGCATCGTCAGGAGATAGGGGAGATCGACCGCTGAGGTGGAGGGACACCCATGGTGTGATAGATGGGCTGCCAGTGATTGAGGTGCGGTCTACGGATGAGCCGGTCACTACATCAGTAGGGCAAGAGCAGCAGGGGGATGTTGAGACATTGCTATCGCTAGGGGAGCTGTCTGCGTTGGAGGAGCCTCAGACGGGTGAGGAGGCGCAGAGATCTGAGGATTCCCTGACTACCCTACTTTATACTATTGAGTCCTCTAGCCTGTTGATGCGGCAGGGAGAGTCCCGATTGGCGGACGGAGAGAGAGAGACGCAGCGTATAGAAGATGAGGTGCTGAGGATAGACCCGAGGGCCCACATGGATGATCTCCACGCAGACGGCTTGGTGTCGTCACCGCTAGTCTTCGATGAGACTCCTCGTCGAGATGACGAGAGAGAGGGAGGCAGTATGGGTGCTCATGCCGAGACAGATATGAGGTCTACTCAGGATGAGCCGGAGACGCAGAGAGGGGAGCCCTGAACTGAGACACAGAGGGTATAGGAGCGCGAGCAGGCTGGTGGAGACACATGGTTAGCTGAGGAGATGAGGAGGATGCCGCCATTACGTTTCCCTAGTTGGAAGGCTTTTGAGCAGGTAGGCCAGGCTGCTAGGCCAGTTTTATCTGAGGATCAGAGGATTGGAGGACTTAGAGTGCTCCATGATGACCTCACACTGGAGAGGGACTACATCGCCAGAGGCCTTACTGCAGCACGCCAGGCGACTGAGGATGTGAGAGACTATGCTCGGAGAGTCGCTACTAGGTCCTTTGATTTATGCAGTGAAAGACGGGAGGAGCACGAGGCTTTGGGAGCATTGGTGGAGGACATCCGTTCCCTGGTAGAGAGGAGAGAAGTTCAGACTTTAGAGGAGGCTAAGCGGTATTGCGCATCCAAGCAAGGGAGGCGAATGACTGGAGGGCACAGGTACAGAGGGTGCTTACAGAGTATGAGCTTCTCGCAGAGGCATCAGATGGGGATCGTTTGGAGCGCAGAGTCGTCCTCGAGACAGTGCGTGCATCTCAATTGGAGAGCTAGGTATCGACCCTGGTCAGGCTGAGGAGAGAGATAGAGGAGCGGACGATGCAACTGTTCTATGAGGATGCTGCGACAGTCGGATGGCAGGAAGAGGTTAGACTGCGACGACAGACGGGAGCAGAGCCCATGTCGGCAGAGGAGCGAGAGAAGGCAGAGGCCGGACTCCAGGCGAGGTTGTTATCTGAGGCATCTGTGAGAGAGTTGGCGGAGGTCATGCAGCATGTCAGGCGTTTGTCTCGATCTGAGGTCGAGCGGGGTGAGACGCTGCAGGACGTAGTGCGGAGGATGGACGCGTTGGAGAGAGAGAACAGGGGGTTGAGAGATACAGTTCAGGGCCTCAGCCTGAGCATGGAGAGTTTGAGGCGACTGACGCTGTGCGTCGAGCAGAGCGTTATGAGTTTGGAGCAGGGGTAGAGGACTCACGTGCCGACAGGGCCGGTTGGTGAGAGAGCTTCAGGGGCATCATATTCTGCTACAGAGCGGACGCGAGTTTTTCGGGAGACGGAGCGATGGACCTTGGGTTTGGGAGTCACCAGACAGGACAGTTGGGCAGAGGGATCTATGGGAGTTAGACCGACATCAGAGGGAGAGACTAGCACTGTGGACAAGTTTATGCTTGCCACAAGTGAGGTAGCACCCGTGGGACAGGGCCAGATGCGTACTGTGGACCAGACTCCCCCTCTAGAGTTTGGAGTACGAGAGGGAGTAGTGGAGCCCCGAGATGGTATACTTCCAGACAGCGCGCAGGATCCACACGTGATACCGTTCGGGACCTTGCCCACCGCCGCATCTCCGAGCCCTGACGTGATGGAGGAGGTGGCTCGTGGACTTGCTCAGAGGTCTGCCGCACAGGATAGGAGGAGAACCACTGAAGGATCGGCGAGGGTGTTGAGTCCTGATGAGGTGGACAGAGCTATACAGGAGGTGACTACCAGATTAGAGAGCATTCAAACCCAGGCCTCAACCGCACCCAAGAGGGCGAAGGTTGGGGAAGAGAGCGCGCGTGACAGATGTTCATGGTGTGGCAGGGGAGGACATCATAGGGGAGACTGCCCTGCTTTTCAGCATGATCTTGATAGAGGGATTGTGCAGTTTGATGCACAGGGACGCCTTAGGGACATGCACCACACCCGCATCCAACAGGGACGCCATGATATGAGGGTGGCGGTATATAGCAGCCTGGGTTTGACACTGAGGGAGGATGAGTGACATCGGATTTTCCTCGACTTGGACTTCTAATCATGGGCATGAGGATTTGAGAGGGTGGTGCGATCTTGTTATGGGTTTTGTGGTATATGATGGTTACCTAGGACATGTTTTTGGTTCAGTTGTGAGTTAGTCGGGGTTGCCTAGATAGAGATATATCCTAACAGTGTGCTATTTAGGTGATAGGCCCAGGAGGAGGTGAGGATTTACAGTTCTTTGAGTCTATGATACGCCTGAGTACCAGACACAGACTAGTGTACATAAGGGGGAGACTTCGTGAGGTTTGAGTAGTGAGAGTGTGAGCTTGTGATACGGTGAATTGGTCGTATGAGGATCCAGGATGTGAGAGTGACTTAGGGGTGGTTCCTGACGACCAGAGACTATTCTCATGATTGGGAGTTTTTGTTTTTATGTAAGAGGGTACGTTTGAGTGCATTTGAAATCTTTCTCTTCGAGTTGTTTCTCTCCTAAGACTCAGAGCGTGTTATGTTTGGGTTTGGATTTTCGAGAATTCTCAGGGAAACATTTGTTGATCCAGACTTTGGCACGAAGGATGTTTCATGTACATATAGTTTCTATAGGTATCACGTTTACGATACCGCTTTCTTTGTCTATCTCTGATTGAGGATGTCTCACCTTTAAGTTTGGATCGTGATGTGAGGTCTCGTGTGGAACCGGGAAGCCAATAAACCTTTCTCACACCGAGTGTGAATCTTGCTCACTCTTGTGTTTATGGTCATTTTTGTATTTGACTGGTTGCAATCCCGCTTGCGGCCTAAGAAATGTGGATATTGGGATGGGGACCGTAGAGGAGTCACCCATGGAGGTGTTTATTTGGATGGGGGCCCGCAGAGGAGTCACCCATGTGTTTTGTGAGGCGGGGGCCCGATGATGAGTGGCCCGCGTGATTTGAAGGAAGTTTGTTTGATGAGATCAAGTGCGACGCAATGAAAGACCGTGGTGATTTCAGTTTGTTTTGCAGAAGACTGCCAAAGGATAACCAAGCTTATGAGATTATTTGTATATATAGTGAGAAACTCCCTCAACAAACAGGGTAACCTGGTTGTGAGGCTCTAGGACCCGCAGCCATTTCTGTCATGATCAAACAGTGCGACTGCAAGCTAAGGGTTGGTCCTAGGGTATATGAGAGGTCTAGGTCAGGGGCTAATCCGGTATCATTGGGCTAACCCCAGTGAAGGGCTGTTGTCCCGCGCAACCAGGACAGCGGACCTCTAGCCTAGCCTGAACTTGGAGCCTGGAAGGGTGACCTACACCTTGTCATCATTTTATTTTATAGTAAAGGGATTATTATTATTATTATTATTATTATTATTATTATTATTACTATTATCTATTATTATTACTGTTTACTATTATCATTATGGGTGCACTATATATTAAGCCAATTACGGGTCATTCCGAAGGACTCTGACTAGGGTGATGACTACGGGGTGCTTAGGTCCAAAGATATGAATCGCCTTAGCATTGCGAAAGCAATGTAGGCAACATCGTAGCCTAAAGATGCGATGAACCGTGACTTGGTCTGATCAGCCGAGACATGGTAAGCCTAGGGCAAGGCTATATCCATACCTGTGACTGGACGCCGGGGAAAGGTTGATTGTGATCTTAAGATTGTGAGGAGTGGCTTGAGTGCAGCACTGAGACAGTTGTGAAAAAGTGAGTTACTCAGTGGGGGTAGACCTTTGAGTAGTAAGGCTACCCAGGGGAGTATGCTATTGATATGAGATTCATAGCACGATTGGGCTACCTAGGAGGGCACACTTTGAATTTGCTGGTACTCAAGAGGGGTTGGCAATCTGCATCAATTTCTGCTGCAAAGTGGTCCCACTCGTGACCATTTGTCTTGCCCAAAGCTCAAGCCTGAAGATGAGAGTTGCTTGCAACTCGAATTTAGAAGGCACCCAACGAAAATCGGAAGGCGTCTAGGGCACGCGGAGGGGCAAGTGTTTGAATATTGGGGATGACCAATGGCGGTAGCACAAAGAAAGTATCTTTGTGAGTCAGACAGGAGATACAGGTTGGAGTCCTGCCCGTCAGAGGGATATCGCAAGACTAGAATGCTTGATCCAAAGCTAAGCCCTTCCGATTATACGGATTTGGTTATTCCTTTGGCCAGTCTATGTTGTTATTTGTTTCTCCAAGTGCGACGGGGACGTTGCTTAATAGGGTGTGGGTGGACTGTCGTGACAAACACCCTTACAAGGGTATTTGCAGTTGTTTTCAAAGGTAGCGCTGGGTCCGACCTTGGCCGCAGAAATGTGCCGATAGGACGAGTTTTGACGGTACTCGTGTCTTAGTAATTTTTTGAAGGCGAGTTGATTAACCAAAGTATGCAGCTTGAGGTTAGAGAGTATGTGGGCATACTTTTTTGAGTATGCGATTGTCGTAATTAGCGATTGCGGTCGGATTGACGGCCGACAGAGAAACCGGCCCCTTTGGGCAAAGATGCAAGGCATAGGGGGATTAAACTTTGATAAGCAAGTGTCATATGCGCCTTATGTGCGGGCGTAGTAGTTGATTTTGTAAAACTGGTTGTTTTGTTACCAGTATTGAGAAAAGTTAGTTGAACTTTGTTGTCAAATCGATGGAGGCTCGGAGTAAAGTAGTGCCCGCAACGGCGACGAGTATTAGAGTAGGGGCCTTAGTACTACCGAGGCAGCCCATTGGGTCATCACTAGTAGGGGTTCCGCATACCAAGTGCGAAGACCGCGGCCTTGGGGCCAGCGGCGCAATCGAGTAGGGAAGAGGGCCTACTTGAATATGTATGGTAGGCCTACCTAGTGGCGGATACTACTTGAATGAAATTCCACGCGCGATTGTGTTAGGTTTGGGTTTAGCCCTATTAGTTACAACATTCACCTTCACCAGGGAGATCACCTTCACCAGGGAGATCCGGGGATCGAGGCTTGCAAGCGACGATAGAGTAGAGGAGCGCAATTGGAAGAGACTGAGGGGTTGAGGGTGTTTAGGGACTATCCCCCTTGGTTTTTCCAAACGGGTCCAGTCGGGGTCTAACTGGCGAAACCAAGAGGGCGCCGGCGGGACCTCGTCATCGTCGGTTCTACTAATTTTAATTTTGATATTTTTTTACTTTTATTTTTATTTTTATTTTTTCTCTTGAAATCCCGTCTTGAACCAAGCCGGAAAACTGGCTCTGGGACCGACGGCGAAAAAGTACCGCGAGGAAGGATGAAAGGAACCTTGAAAGAAAGAAAAGAACGCTTGAAATTGTCGAGCGATGAGCGGATGGAGAGAAGTCTCACACCTGGTCGAGGGCAGACAGCGACTTGGTCGCCGCCATCATTGGCCAGGACGCTGGGTGCCTGCCAGCATGGGTTGTTGTGACAGCATTGCATTTGGGAATGATTGGAACTTTCCCCCGCGGGTGGCCATCAAGGCAGCCGATGACCTTGAGTACGCGCCTCTTTTAGCAGTGACGTTCAGGGTCCTGCGTATTCGGTGTGCTGACAAAATTCCTTTATCCTACCCGTCTTGAAAGCACAGACCGAAGGGGCCAACGTGCAGGTGAGCCTGTGGGTGCAAAGCCCTCGAAGCAGCGGCATCCCGAGTGGCGGGGATCTCCTGCAGATGCACCGTCCGCTAGCCAGGATCTGTTTCTAGAAGGCTGGAGTGTGAGCAGGCCCGTGGGACCTGAGAAATAGTCAACTGTGCCCGGGGAAGGCACGGTCTACCAGCCAAGGTTTGTTGTAAACAGATTCGAGTTGAACAGGTCAGCAGGATCAGTGCCACTGGGCCTAGCTCAGTTGGTACACCCGCAGACTGTTGGAAACCAGGTCTGCGGGATCAGTGTCACTGGGCCTAGCTAAGTTGGTACACCCACAGACTGTTGAAAACCAGGTCTGAGGGATCAGTGCCACTGGGCCCAACTCAGTTGGTACACCCATGAACTATTGCACGGGACTTTTCAGACTAGCTCACGAGGCTGTGGTCTGTTTTTCTGACTGTACCTGGATTCGAACCCTAGCCTGTATCTCAGCAGTTTGTGGGTATACCACCTAAGTTTGGCCTATGGGTGTTGGTTCCACGGGCCTATTTTTCAACAGCCTGCGAGTGTACCAGATGAACTTGCTTAAGTGATGATCCCTTAGGATTGTTTTTTCAACAGTCTGCGGGCGTACCAACCGAGCTACCGCTGGTACAGATCCCCCATAACTGTTTTTCAACAGTCTGCAGGTGTACCAACTAAGCTAGGTCCCGCAACTGCCGGTCCCACAGACCGACTTTCAGCACTCCGCGGGTGTACCAGCTGATCTATGTCCGCAGGTGCTGGTCCCACAGACCTACTTACAGTAGTGTGCGGTGGCTACTAACAGGCCTATGACTCGGTTGGTACACCGGTGCACTGTTGAAGTACAGACTTGAGTTCGAATTCCAATGGGAGCTGATGAGTAAAATGCTGCAGTCTTGACTACCCAGGCCCTGTACCTGGCCCGGGACCGGTGTTGCATCAATGGGCCTTGCACGATTGGTACCCCCTGAACTGTTGAGATATAGACTCAAGTTCGGGTTTAGATACAATCACGTGAACAGAATAAAATAACCCTGAATTACCAGGGACTGGATCCTTAGGGACATCTGTTCAAATTGGAACGATACAGAGAGGAATTAGCATGGCCCCTAACACACATAAAAACAAGGGACCAACTTGTTCTCTTTTTTGTGTTCTGAAATTTTCGAGAAAAGTGTCTCGTGGCTAGACGCGCAATGAGACCGCGTGGAGTAAATGGGGTAAATGTCGGCAACAGCAAAGAAGATGAAGTCGGGAGGAAGAAGAAGCAGGGCGGAAATGAGAGAGGAGGTGGCAGGGAGAAAGATGAGAGGAAGTAATGGGGAAGTACCAAAACAAGGAGAGAGAGACGGTAGATTAGAGGAGGGGAACCAGGTGGGATGAACCTGGGCGCGGATTTGTGCCAGGTGCAGTTGGGAAGATTGAGAAAGGCAGAGATGGCGAAGAGGGTGAAGTGCAAGGAGGGAGAACGTGCTTTCTTACCTAATTTTTAGTAGGAACCGTGGAAAAGGAAAGTCAGGTAGGAGGTTTCTGGGCTAGGCGAATCTAATGGTGGTATTAGTGTGGGGGGGGAGTTAGTAAGAAGTAAGGTAGAGGGAAGAGATAGTGCGAGGAGAGATTGGAAGGAAATAACGAGTGAAGAAAACGAGAGCAAAAAAATATGATATCTCGCTCGTTCCTCAGCGGAATCGAGCGAGAGAAGATCCTAAATCGGGGTTTTTTGTCATCCTGAGTATGATAGTGGTGTCTGAATTGATAGTAGGGCGTTACTTGTTTTTTATCTGGGCTGCAGGGGCTGCGCGGTTCTACGGGAGTTTATGAAAGTAGTAATGTAACTTTCTGAATTTTCAGCAGAAGAACGAGTATCACCTTGCTTGCTGGGTAAATAGAGGAGCATAGTCTATGGAAGCATGCCTCAACTGAGCATTGCCATGCATCTTAATCCCGGTTTTACTACACACGGTCATCAGCAAGATCCCGTTGTCCATCCTCATGTATGTTCCCATAGGGGCGATGTACTTGGTCGATTTCCAGCGGGAGATTCATTCATCATTTTCGCTCATTGATGGGCGCAGCAGGCAGTGACCTCCTTGGCGTGTATCCTTCTTGGTTCTAGCGAGAGGTTCATTCATCACTTCCGTTACTGATGAGAGC